CATCACTGAAAACAGTTGCTCTTTCCCAGCAGAGGATTTCTTTGTAACCTTGTCGGAAAGCAGGACTTCGAAGGGCATAGATTATTGGATTACAAGCACTGTTCATGTAAGCAAAAAAATATGCCTGAAAGAAAAACAAATAATTTTTAATAAATATCAGTTATATATATATATATATATATATATATATATTTCATCAAAAAATAGCAATAAAAGAAAAATCATTAAAATAAGAAAAACAAGATAAATTTTTTAAAAAGTCACACTTCAATAATGTAAAAAAAGTCACACTTCAATAATGTAAAAAAAAAAAAAGTCACACTTCAATAATGTAAAAAAAAGTAATGCTAAAAATAAACATTTCCATACAGAAAAGTTTGGTCATTTATTGACTGACCAGTTAGTGTTACTTTTGGTTGAAATGTGCAAAATATTTTTACTAAACAGGAAATTCCATTTCCCCAGTCAACTAACAGTTATAGCTCTTTCTGGTACTGATCAGTTTCCTTCCAAACCTTTTGTTTAAAGTAGTCTGGAAAGTTGATTACATCATTATTTCCTTGTCAAATTACATATTACTCATTTTCGGTTCCATTGCTCTTAGAAATATTTGAGTGATTTAAATTTATTCGTTTCATATAACTCTTCATTTTTGATTTTCTAGTACCAATATATAGAATCTGATAAGAATCATCTTTTAAAATTTAAAGGATTTATTTGTTTGGCATCATTTTTAATTCATAATTTATCATAGTTCACTCCATAACTATATGTATATATTTGCATATATATATATATATATATATAATTATTTATACTTCTCTGAAAAAAGCACTTATGTGTAAATACCCTTTGGAAAGGGTATAAACCCATCTTCTCCTCCCAGCTATGAGTTAAATAGTAGGAATTGTATTTGGAATAATCATCAAGCATTGAATAATCCACAAAGGGTTGATAGACTGTAAAACAATAAAATCAACCAAACAAGTTAATGGTAATAGTGAAGTTAGCAGTTTCCATACAAGAAACATCCGACATTCAACGACTGAATATTTAGAATTACTCTCAGGTGAAATTTATAAAAACTCTTTATTAAAATAGTTTTCAAGAATTTAGACTTCTCAAGTCCACTGTTATAGCTCTTTCTAATATTGATGGGAAATTTCTTTCCAAACCTTTTGTTTATGCTTGTGTGGTAAGTCAACATGTTGATTTTGTTTTATTTTCCCATTTATCATAGTTACATGTGCTAAACATTTTTGTTGTTATTGCTATTAAAATTTTTTAATGCTATCATTCTAATATTTAAAATCAAATAAATTATTTAAGAAAAACACAATTCTTAGAAAAATATTATTTTAAATATTATTAAAAAATTATTAAAAATAATTCAAGAGTAAAAAGAATTATTTTTATAACCATTTAGCTCTTAACTTTCTGGCACCATTTCATTTTGGAGGTGTTAAAATATCAATCTTTACGTCTTCAAAATGAAAGTGCTCTCTTTTAATCATCTGAGATAACTGGTTTTGTCTTGTATCAGCATGGCTGATGCTAACCTCCTAGACTTGTTGCAGCTTCTCAGGTTATTTAATCACTTGCTAGGCCTGCTGCTAGGAAATGTGGTTCACTGTGTGGTTCTAGACAATTTCCCTCTCCTGAATTTATTTTACATATTTATAAGTCTACCATTTGTCCATGCATTGAATATTGCTGCCACATCAGGTCGGGTGCTCCTGTTATATATTTAGAGATTCTTGATAAAATCCAAAGAAGAATCTGCAATGTTATTGGTCCTCAAACTCACTGAGGATAGTAGCTAACTTCCAGGAGAGTGATTCATTTTGCCTTCTCGAATAAACATTTTCAGCTGACATGAAGTTGAAAGAGTTTATTGAATCAACTGCTAAGACTGTAGCTAAGAATATTGGTTCACTATGTCATGATAGACAATTTTTCACTCCAGAATCTATCTTGCACGTTTATAAGTGTACCATTCATCCATGCATTGAATATTATTGCCATATCTGGTCTGGTGTTTCTGGTATGTACCTAGAGATTCTTGATAGAATCCAAAGAGAAATCTTGTCTTCAGTTTTCTCCCTGCCATAACATAGCTTCCCTGTACTTTTTCTAGACATATTTCCATGGTAATTGTCCTGAAGAACATTCTTCTTTGGTACCTTGCCTTTTATGAATTTCAGTATAGTACTTCATTGGTGGCAAGGTCTCATCATTTTACAGCTGAAATGGCGAGATGCAATTGTAACTTCCATGTTATCGCCTTCTTCAATCTCACTTGTGAAACTTTTTTCTGGCTTCTTGCTTCTCAGTCAACTTTGATCTTCAAAGATTTCATCTGGTAGGAAAGTTGGTTCACTGTCCTCTGTGAGACAATGTTTCTCTTCAGAATTTATCGTACATATCTATCATTCGTCCATGCTTAGAATATTGTTGCCATATATGGTCTGGTGCTCCTGCTATTTATCTAGATCTCCTTGATAAAACTTAAAGAGAAACAGCAATATTATTGGTCCTTGTCTGGCATCTTGGCTTCAGTCATTTTCCCACTGCCATAAGGTTGTCTCTTTGTACCTTTTCTATAAATACTTTCACGATAATTGGTCGAATGAACTCTTTGCAATGATACCTAGACTTTATGAATTTAAGCACAGTATAAGACTGGCATCAAGATCATCAATTTACAGTTGTGGGAGTTGATGTAACTTCTATGCTAACAGTTACTTTTGTCACACTTCTTGCTTGTGGAACTCTGTTCTAGCTTCATGCTTTCTATCCATCGTTAATATGCAAAAATTTAAATGCAATGTCAATTGCTATCTACCATACTCCTGATTACGAAAGAACAAAAACAGAAAAAGAGAAATGTTTCTGTTTTTAATTTTTCCACAACCAGTAACCCTTGTACCTTAGTGGCTTTACTTCCTTGCATGGGGTGTGCTTGATTTTTAAAAAAAAAAACATTTGAGTGTGACCATTTTCTTTAAAGTTTGTATTTTCTTGATTTCATATGAAAACTTGGAAATTTTCCAGCATATTTCAGTGAAAATTATCATTTTCCGAAATTTTAGTTTCTAGTTAAGATATATTGGGGTTGGTGGGGAAGGTGTTAGTTGAAATTGATGTAATCTATTAAAACTTTAAAAAATAGTTGAAATATGTTTATACATACATAAAGCATGCAAAATCTGTAAGAAACGAAAATTAAAAAATAAGATACAAATAAAACAATCAAAAACATTTAAAAATCAAAACAATAATAAAAAAGAAGATTAAAATATCAAAAACTAACAAAAGAATATTAAAAACAATATTAATATAATAAATATAATACAATATTAATATAATAAATATAATACAATATTAATATAATAAAATATTAATATAATAAAATATTAATATAATAAATATAATACAATAATAAAATAATAATAATAGAATAATAATAATTAAAATAGAATAATAGGATAATAATATAATAATAATATAAGAATAATAATTAAAATAGAATAATAATATAAGAATAATAATTAAAATAGAATAATAATATTAAAATAGGATAATAATAATTAAAATAGAATAGAATAATAATAGAATAATAAAATAATATACACTGATAATAATATTATAATAATTATATTAATACAATTGAAAAAGTGAGAAAATGACATGAACTTACCATATTTTTTAAGCTAGTAGAACTGCCATAAGGCACTCCAAAGATCACCTGACCTCAAGTGGAACTCTTATATATGATCCTCTGCTAAAAATGCAGGTAAAATGAGTACCTGGCTCCTCATGCTATCCTCTACCTTTATAAAAGGCAAATCAGACCGAAAATGGAGTACTATTGCCGCATTTGGGCGAGAGCTAACCAGACCTCATATTCCAGTCTTGGAAGAGTTCAAAAGCATCACTGAGTTCTTGTGGGAGAAGAAATATTACCCACTCTCCAACCTCTCTGTCACAGGTGGGACGTGGCGAGTCTCTCACTGCACTATCACTACTACCATGGAAAGTGCTCAAATGAATTGCATCTTCTGGCTCTGCCAGGTCTGACCTTAACATCTACGATCTGCCATACCACATATAGTAGCAAACTCCCACCTTCCTTCTGTATCCAACTGGCGAGAAGTAAGTTCCATTCAAATAGCTTCTTCCTGTAAACTACTGCCCTGTGGAACAGACTCCCAAGAGGATGTTTCCCCAATCACTACATTATTATTCTGTTCAAGTTAACCATTATCTTCTTATCCATATAAACTACCCCTTAATGTAACCCTCTGTCGAGTGGACCCTGGGATTTGTTCAGTGTGAACCTTACTGTAAAAAATAGATCACTAAAGCTGTAATATTCAATAAATCAAGAAAGGTTCAAGTGTCTTATTTGGTTAACTGACTCAAGAGTTTTATGATAAAATGCCTATCAGACAGCTCTGCACAATAGAGAAACACACACACACATGGCCAGAAGGGCCTCCTCCTTTGCGGCTCAAAGGGGATTGAGAAAGGTGATATCAAGCAAACCTGATTGCAGTGGGCTGTCAGATGCTTGGTCTGCTATGGTCCACCTTAGTTTTGTCAGCTAGACTGATGCTGCCCTCTTTCACATCTTTGGTCATTGATATTGTGTAGATCTTCACCTATGTTTATGTTCAGTTTTTTTTTCTGTAGGAGGTACACGGGAGTAATGGATAGCGGCTCCAATTGAGGAATCAGAGAGCCAAGTTCGAATTCCAGTTGAATCCATTACATTCACCTACATGCTAATACCCTTGGGAAAGGTATAAATCCTCTTCTTCTCCCCCCCCCACTATGGGTAAATAGCAGGACAGACCAGGTTCTGTAGCTTTGAATGGCAACTGGTCTACTGCAGAAAGAAATATCAACCTACTGTGGGGGATAAAAATCTGCCTCGTCAGTCATGTATCAAAAGATACATTATCGCTTAAGTGTGTATCACTCATTGCACATAATTAACTGACTTTTTTCTGCAAAATATAGTGGTAGGTGGGCACACTATTAACAGGTAATTTTTTTAAAAAGGCTAAAAAATTCATGCATTTTCGGTGACCAGTTGCACTATACACAAGTAATTTTTTT